AACTTTATCTGACTCAGCTGTAATAAGTCCCTGGACACAATATTGGGGAAATAGAGGAAATGGAAATTGTCTGAGAACTGCAGACAGAAGAAGTTCAAAGAGAGAGTTACAGAAAGACTTCTCTAATCCTCAGTGGTCCTCAGCTGGCCCGGAAGGAGCAGAGACTGGCACTCACCATTTAAGGCTGCTCCTGATGATGAGAACTTCAAAAGGAAGCCTCTCAAAGAAGGCTACAAGGAACGTGAAATCAATACAGCTCTCTGCCAAGCGACCAAGAAGGATTATTAAAAATCTTTTTAAAATGCAGTCCACTTAGTTCAATAATCCCACTTCTGGGAACCTCACTCTCCTGAGATATCAGATATATGGAAATTACTGGACAAAAACATCCTTATCAGTCTCGGAGACTAGCTGTACAACACTGTGAATATACTTACCACAGCTAAAATATACACAAAAGTATACACATAAAAGCAACTCATATGGTAAAACTTGTTATGTGAATCTTACTATAGTTGATTATTAAAATAGGATATAAAAAATGGGGTCATGGAACTTTTTTATGTTGTTTGTGGGTCATACTCAGTGGTGCTCAGGGATTACTCATGGCTCTTGTGCTTAGAATCACTCCTGGCTGGCTCAGAGACAATATGGGATGCAGGGGATTGAACCTGAGTTAGTTGAGTGTAAGACAAGGGCCCTTCACACTGTACTATCTCTCCAGCCCCATTTTTTGGGGGGGAACCACACCTGGTGGTACACTTGATCCTGGCAGAGCTCACTGAACCATGTGATGCCAGAGATCAAATTTGCAGCAGCTGTCTGCAAGACAAGTGCCCTGCCCTCTATGCTTTATTTCTAGCTACAAATTTTAAATACCGAAAAACATGACCTGGCTAATTGTTCAAAGAGTAGACCTTGCATGTAGGAATCCTAGGTTTGATCCTTAGCATTTCAGGGTTCCCCAACCTGTGTTGAGGGTGAGCCCCAGCACGGAGTCTGGGTGACCCTTGAGCACTGCCAGATGTCACCCAAAAGAAAAAAATACACTGAAATATATATATTCAAATAAATATATGGTGAAAAAAGTGCTGAGAAATAATTTATATATCTAGTAATTAATTACGGAAAAAGACAACAAACAGGCACTGAGTATCAAATTCCTCAAGCATAAGTTGAAAAAGGAATAGTTTCTTGGTTGTTGTGTTTTTTAACTAGAAAATCAAAACATTAACTGCAGTTACATCTCTGCTGGGATTTCCTAATTTTCTACCAACAACACTTGTGGTGTGAGGGGAGGTCTCGGAAGACATCAACTCAAGGTCTAAGAATCAAAGGGCAGAGAAACTCCCACTGTACAGACTGTTTGTCTAGAGGCTTTCCCCTTAAACAGCCACTCAGAGTGGTTCCTGAACTGCTCTATCTGCTCTGTCAGCTGAGACAGAACTGGAACTGGAAGCCAGAGGGTGCAAAGACCCAGAATGATCAGGCTCCCCAAAGGCACAAAGAAGAGCAGCATCACCCACTTGCCACTGGCTACCAGGGTCCCCACCACAGCATTTTAAAGGGCTGCTTCCCTTTCATACGCTACCTTTTAAATACTTCATAATGGGCCCAAAAGCAATCTGGGAAATGTAATCCAAATACGAAGTAACTAATGATATTACTAATAAATAAACCGCAGGAAATGGTTTTTGTTCTTCTCTGGAAGACAAAAGGATACATTACAAATGTTAATGAATTCTTAATCCAAAAAGGCTTGCAACAGCCACAAAACTACATTAATGGATGCTGGTCCTGTGTTCATTACCAGCAAATGTTTTTTGTTAAGTGCGTAGAGAAAACAGAATTTGAAACCAACATTCTAAATCTTCGAACTAGCAGTAAAGAAAATAAAAATGGAGAAAGAGGGAAGGTGAGTAAGTAAGACAATCAACAATATTAAGTGGAATGTAAAAAACTTGATCAGATAAATTTAGGGTCATATTATTGCAGTTTTTCTCTGGTCCACAGGTGCCATGGTTCAGGAGCTCGTCACTCATTTGCATTAATACAGGTTGTGCTAAGTCCCAATTACAAGAGTGCAACATTTGACCCTTAATAGGATAACATTTTCTGACAGTCTCCAATTAAAATCAAGTAGTGAAGAGACTGTGCCAAACAAGTGAAAGAGGCTGGTTGGCTGGTTGGTTTTATAGAACCTTCTTAAAGGAGAAAGAGGTCTTCTTACAAAGGAGAACAAATGTCTAGGCAATATTAGAGTTGGGTTTGAGGAGGATCAGGATTGAAAGCACAGTTCCTGTGGGCTGGGTAGGAGAATAGGGTGAAGCTTCAATCCCTATGGGCACTGCAGGCACACCTTTCTACTCTATCATTAGCAACAACAGCATTAGCTTTTTAAATAGATGGCTATTTTTAAATGCAGCGCACACTTGCAACCATATGCCAACTATTTTCTTTACAGGAAGGTAGGACATATATAAAAGTGTTTTATATAAATATATATACATATACAAATATATATACATATATATATAAAACATTCTATATGGCAAATATATAAACACATGCATATAAGTATTTATGTATGTGCTCTTTCAATGTTATAATTTAAACAGAAACCTGTGTGGTAGATACTGTAGAAACAATATTGTCTACTGTCTGATATATTCTGAGTCAGTGTCATTTTAAGCACGGCTGTCTTTAACTTTTCCTTTTGAATTGAAATAACCAAGATCATAATGCCATAGTGAGACCCTAATTTGCATCACAAACTTAAGCAATTGAAAAAGCACTGCTCCACAAGTATCTGTTCAAGGAATTCACATGCCATTTTGACCAAAAACAACCAATGTAGAGAACAATTTCATCTGTTCACTAAAGGTTAACTATTACAGAACCATAGAACCATTCCCTTCTCTATCAGAAGGCCTGGGAAATAATTTAGCATGAAAAAAAAATTGACATATCTTCTCAAAAATCAAAGAAACAAAATCTGGTCATAATACAAAAGGACACATGGTCCTGTCAGGAAGTTCACCGCCAGTATTTCTGTAATCCTGACATCCAGGCTGGCACAGCATTCACTGCTTCCTCACATCCCACCAAGAAACACCACAAAACAATTAGCAATTATGTGAGGAGATGCCTGTGTTATCTTATTGGAAATCATCATGTTGAAATATAAACATAGATAAACAATTATATATTAGTAAGACTGGAAATACTAAGTGATAAATTGAACAAATATTAAAGTCTCAATAAATCCAATACTATTAATAAAATTAGATCTCTAAATATTTATTTTGTAGTCTTTGAAGTGTTCTCAATCCTTAAGCATTATTTCACTGGCAGGAACATGGGTTAAAGGTCAAATTTCTGCACCTGACATTACCTTATACTGCAATCCCTTAGGATCCAGACTGGTTCAAAATTCTATTGTTAGATATAGATGAGGTGTACTTAAATATCATGTCTTTCTTCCACCATTAGATACAGGAAAAACATGTGCACACTAATTCTAGAAAAAGGTCTGTGTGACACAGTTTATAAAACGTGGTGTACAATTCATAGAAAAAGAGAGTAACTCTAATGGTTAATAACCTTAAAAGAGAGGCAGTGTGGGAACTAAGATTTGAAAGAAGAGAAAAAAATCTTACAGAGATAACAGTGGCGGGGGGCGGGGGGCAAAGAGAAAAAAAGATATTCCAGGAATTTCCCCCAAATACTGATAAACAGGTCAAATTCCTTGGCACAGGAAATCATTTCATACCAAAAAGGTTTCCAAATTCCAACTAATGACTGAACTGTAAACAAAGCTGTTCACAATAAGACTGTTCCGGAACAATAGAGACTGTGGACACTCACTCATAGTTAATAGCACCATTTCTAACATTTAGAATCTTATAATTTGCCTTCTTAAATTTGACCTGTACATAAACTGCAAGCATGCACCAACTAATTCAGAAATAATACACATGACATCTCCAGTATAACAAATATTCAGGAAACCAGGAAAATGTACCAATTTCACATCCCCAAGGCATTCTTACAATAGATTCCAAGCTAGCTTACAAGTAAATGAGAAGAATCTCTAACTGGCATATGATCAATAAGATGCCAAATTATCCTGTCCTCCCTCAGTAAACAAACAGTAAGCAAACCTACAAGATCAAAGAACATTTATGATTCCAGGTGTAAGCATTTTGGAAAGGCTTTTTCTCTCATCTGAGTCATAACCTCTCAAAGTTAAGTAATACCTGGGGTTTTACTGGTTAAGTGCAAACTGTAATAATGAAGGAAAACAAAATCCTTTATACAAGTAATCCATTCTGTTGCTTCCTCCCTTTCCGAGTATGCATTTCACTAAAATTGGATAGATGACTGAATGTCAAACAAAGCAATCAAAATACTAATGTATTGGAAAATATATATTAGTATATACCACTTGGGAGTAAATAGAAAAATTACACTTGTCAAAATTCATAGCCTTTCAGTGTACCACCATGAGTTTATTTTCTTTTTGGTTTTCTAGGCCACACCCAGTGGTGCATGGGAGTTACTCCCAGATCTTTGCCCAGGGTCCTCCCTTGTGTTTGGGGGACCAATCAGAGACTAAACCCAGGCCTTCTCCATACAAAGCATGCCTGGAGACCTATCTCTCTTCCCCGTGAACTTAAAGCACCCCCAATTTTTTTCCTGCACAAGAAAAAAAAAGTTGGTTAATGTTAACAGACTACAGGATCTTGAGTCTCTGTAAAGTCTTCCCTTGGATTTCAAAACAGTTTAGATGCTGACTGAACTAAAGAGGTCAACCTATTCAAATAAAACTTCAAAAGCAAAATTCCTTCTTCCTGAAGTTTCTATAACAAAACAAACTAAAAAAATAGAGAATCCTCCTTTGAGAAGATTTGGGGTGGGCAGAAGTTTTTCATTTCACCACAAGTGTTACTTCTGTAACCAAGACTGCTGGTGTGGGTGTGGTGGTATTGTCTATTTACCTGGGGATTTTTTGTTTGATCTTGATTGCATGGAGTGAGACTGTCGAGGCAGCAGAGGAGATGAAGGCAAAGACATCGACACCCCTTTGGCCAAGCTCACCCTGTAGGTGTCCTCTGCTGTGGAAAGGCTGCTCACGGAAAAGTCACCACAGGGGGCCAGGGCCGCGGGGAGAGTCTCTGTACCCAGGTCACCTGGAGCAAAGAGAAGAGAACCTTTGGTTAAACACAGATTGCCTCTATCGTGGTGCATACAAATTACTTCTTTCTCAGTTTGTTTTTGGGCTATATATGGCAGTGCTGGGGACAACACAGTGTCTAGCACTGAACTCAGGGCTTGTGCATGGGTAGGTGAAGCATGCACTGCTGCCCTTTGAGCCACCTCCTTGGCCCAAGAACTTTATTCTGAGAATAGAATTCATTTCTAGGTTAGACTCTCCATAAAGAATATGTGTATGTTGAATGATTTTCAATTTTTTTCTAATCATTTAGTACAATTACCCAAACAGAAAATTCAAGTTTCACCACTCACGCACTCATGAATTCTGCCTCATGCCCCTTCTTGTACCATTATTAACTAGTCTGTTTTTATTCCTAACAACTGGTCCGGGAACTGGATGAAAATCAGGTATGAAAGATCCACAAGAAGCTGTGATTGAAGTCAAGGTAAGGTCAGGAGGGTGTAGTGTTTATTAACTTTAGAGCAGCCACAGTAGGAGATCCAAAGATCAAGATTCCTCCCAGATTTCTCTGGTCTCCCACTGTTTCTCTCCAGCAAGAATGCCCAATAGGGCTGGGAGTTAACGCCCAAGCAACAAGCTGAGAGTAAATTCCTAAGCATAGCAGAATGTGGCCCCAAAACAGATCCATAAACACTAAGTGAATATTTAATGGATGGTCTGCCTACTTTCATTCTCCTCCCCTGCAGCCCTCATGACTCTCACTAACCCATCCCACGCACACCACAGCACAAGGTCCAGCCTTCTACAACTCAACCAACTTGGATCAGAGAGATAATACGGGAACTAAGGCACTTGTCCTCATGCAGCAGATCCTGACTCAATCTCCAAGCACTCCAGCAGTGACCCATGAAAAATGACCTGGAATAGCCCCTGAGTACCATCAGGTGTGACCCAAACACACACACACACACACACACACACACACACACACAAACATACAACCTAACCAACTCAAACCCTGACTCATGAGTCAGAACCACAGTTTTCTTAGTAAGCAGGTTGCCCTTTGTATTGAGTCCCTATAAACACAAGCTTACTATGGTATAATTTCACACGCTATGGCAGCCAGATGCTAAAAAATAAGAAGATGCAACTTAAGCACAGAGAGGACACAAAGAAGAGAATATGTAGTCTCAGAACAGTCTTTCCAAACCAGAAAAAAAAGGTGGGGGAGGCTTTGGGATTCAGCCAGTCCAATTATTCCAATTAACAGGCTCTCCTCCTATTGCTCTTTCCCCATCACCATATACACCATAGGGGTGTATGATTATGTACTAAAAAACTGCTGAGGAAGTACAAGGAGAGAAGGTCAAACATTACTCGAGTGACTGGAGAATCTTCAAGCTCTAAATTACAAGCAGCAGAACTGGAAAGATTTAGAAAGTTTCCCCCCAGAAAGCAAATGAGCCTTTCGCACAAAGGTCATCCAAGTGGCCCTTCCTGTGCCTGACTCTGGAAAATTCAAGGTCTGGCTTTTAATTGAAAGCTGTCTAGTCAGGTGGGAACTCAATCTTTGCAGGTCCTTATATACAAGGCTCAAACAGGATAAGATCCAAACCATTAAGTTCCAAATTGCGTCCTTGTACATGTTTTTCACGTTAGAAGGCACGGTGAAGTGCAGAGCTGCCCCTTCCACAACCAGGGAGGGTGGAGGGGCGGTTTAAATAAGCAAACAGGTTCATGCCTGACTTTGAAAGGTAACTCAAAACTAGAGAGTTGAGAACAGAAAATCCATGGGTTGGTTCTGTAATGGGTAGAGCTGGCAACGAAAAAAAGGTAATTTCTGTGTCACCCAGACCAGGCACACTTGAAAGGGGTTTTAACAAACTAGGGTAACGAAACATGTACCACTAAATTCCCAAATGGCTGGCATTTGAACAACCAGAATAATCAAGAAATTGTCATTAAATTTTAAAAAACAAGAACATACATGCAAACACCCAAGGCAAATACCATATCTGCCCCTAAAGGAGGGAAGCAGGCAAGAGTTAGATCCTTACCTCCTAAGTCCACGTGAACAGCACTGACATTGAGCATGCCGTGCTAAAACACCACTACCACCAATTCCCAGGAGGCAGGAGTTTTCTTACACCACTGCCATGAATGAGCTGAAAGTGTTTCCAAAAACACCTCCTTGGTGTCCTGATCCAAGGCATGAAGTTTCCCAGCTGCCCCTGCTTCAGCTGTCTGGCAATGAAAAGTGTCTTAAGGCAGAACAGGGGGGTACACCAGCATCTCTGCGGCTGAATACCCACTGTGCCAAGACTTGAAAAAAGGAGTAGGAGCATTTATTTAATCTGGTCTAACACCAGGCTTTCCTGACCAGTCCCCATTATATTTTGCATCTCCAGAATGTTAGCAGGTATGCTCCCCACAAGAATGGCACCCAGTCATCTCATTCTTGATGGTTAAGCAAAATATAGTAGGAGACATGTAAGACCTCAGCAAGCATAGCATAGGACATGAGTGGGCAGAGAGATCCTTTGCAGACTTGCACTGATGTTAACATTCCACATTTTTTAATGAGATCTGAATAGGTAAGTGGTTACAGGATGGCATGGCAGGAAGTGTCTTTCTACTCGTGCATGAGTATTCCTGACCGAAGCCAAAACAAATAAATAAAACTTAGATGTCAAATCCCTCAGTCTGAATGGAGACACAATATTGAGACACACATTTATCATGACAACTCCAGGAATAAAAATGTAAAGCTCATTTCTAAGAAAGGGTTCCTTTAAAAAAAAAAGAAAAGAAAAGAAAAACAAACAGAATTCTCAAAAGTGCTACAAGAAATTCTGGGAACTGAATGGTAAGAGAGAACTCACTTCTCAATTATAAACTCTGCCCATAAACTTTGTTTTTAATCAAGCAAAGCAAATATTTTCATTAACTGAAAATTGTGTGGGGGATGAGTTTCTAAAGCATGCCATAACCCTGAGGAACTTCTCCGGAGCAGCTGCACTCCAACACTTTGATTTTATGTGGTCTGCAATAAAATGGGACATAGAGATGAGGTTTGGGAAGGAGGGGTGTCTATTTTAAGTTTATTTTGACATCTCTCTTGAATATCAGTCCCAAACATGTTGCTCTGTTGGTTGGCTTTTCAAAGACAGTTAAGAACCCCCAACTTCCAGCTTCTTATTTTAGAAAGACATAAAGCAGGGAAAGAAGTTTCACATATGACAGGCAGCAGAAAGTAAGTGGGGTGATTTGGCGGCTTATAAGCAGGAGACAGCACTCTGGAGCCTGGTGCTTAACTGCACCAGGGCAAAGGAGTTCAGGTCAAAGTAAGTGCAAGCACATCATGATGACGACAGTGATAGAAAATGAAAATCTCTTCGGGGCATCCATAAGAGCTACACAATATAAGTTCTGGGCAACATGACACCAGAAACTCTCCAGTTGATTTAACATTCCTCAGCAGATGCTTAGAGAGGTTTAAGGGGAATTAAAAACATTTCATTGCACAATCAGCATGGCTGGCACTCTTCTTTTAGCCTGGGATGTATGGTTTTCCCTTTAACTGTGACCTATTTATACCCACCTCTATTAAGTGATGGTAACCACACTTCAATAACCCTTGCTGCAGCAGAAATATGCAGGCTGAGAGGTAGAAGACGCCGCTCTGGTGTAAGAGAATCCTGTTATCCTCTACCCTGATTTACCAGGCCTCCTCTTGTTCTGCTGACAGGAGTTTCCACTGAACATTTATATGCCACAGACACTAACATCATTCTCCCATGTGCTTTTCATCTCAGAGAGCAGCCATTCCAATTGCAGATTCACAGACAGAGAGCTGGGACTTGAGGGTTAACGATGAGAAGCAGGGACCCAATTAGAACTGCTCTCCAAAGTCACCCCAAACTAGTCAGCTCAAGTTGTAACATATTCATAACTCTATGTGCGTGAAAACTTCACTTTGCAGCAAAACAAGGTCCCCCAAACAGACACAGATTTTAATGAGTTCAATGAATCAGAGGACAGTGTATTTTTGTGGTAAAATCAAGGCTTTGCATGTCATATACAGTTCCTATCATTCACACAAAAATACACACCTACCCGTTATTTTTGATTTGGGGCCACACCCAGCAGTGCTCAGGAGCTATTTCTGTCTTTGGAAGGGGGGTGGGGGGTTGAAGGGATCTGTGGTCATAGTGGACGACAGCCATGCAGTGCTAGGGACTGAACATGGGATGTGTGCATGAAAAGTATGTACTCCACCATGTTGGGTTCTCTCTCCGGTCTACCCTTTCAAAAATGAAAGACCAAAGGGATCAGAGAGATAGTACAGAGAGTAAGAGAGTATAGTCTTGCATGTGGCCAACCCAGTTTTGATCCCTAGCATTCTAGCATTCCATATGGTCCTGAGTTTACCATGACTGGGGTGATCCCTGAGTACAGAGCAAAGAGTAAGCCCTGAGCATGACTAGGTATGGTCCAAGTACCAAAAAAAAATAAAAATCATAAAAGGTCAAAAAGGGCATAAGACCATAGTTCAATATAATTCATAATAAATATAAGCCTGGGAGATATCTCAAAGAACTCTAGCACATGCTCTGCATTGAGGAGGCCCAGCTTCAGTGCTCAATACTGTAAGATTCCTCAAGTACTATGTATTTTGGATTTTTAAAAAAAATTTTTGATCATTCAATTAGCCATATAGTGGTAACAAGCAATATAAAATAAACTATTGTCGACCTTCTGTATTATTGTATAATGGGAGCAGGCTTGGGAGGTAGGTGGGAAAATTAAGAAAATGGTGGAGGGAAGGTGACAGTGGTGGTGGAATTGAGGCTGGAATATTGAATGCCTGTAAGAAATCAGCATGAACAACCTTTGTAGGGGTGAGAGAAAAGATAAAATCGATCAATTTCAGAGACCTGTGTGGAGGGACTATCAAGCACCATTAGGTATAAGACCCAAAGTGAAAACAAAGAAAAAAAACATGTAGAC